AGGTAGTTTTATGCCTGCATTATAAATCATAGAAGACATTTGGTCAAAGAGTACATAAAAGGGGTAGGAGGGAAACACCAGAGTTCAGAGTTGGAAGCAATTATTTTTTCAAACTAAGCATTGGCCATAGTAGCAAAAGTATCAACAAAATTTTAGAATAGCCTGTAAAACTGTTTAACATCAAAACATGCATTAGGCTGTACAGACAATAGCTTTTAGAGGAAACCTTGAGTTTGGTGCAAGCACCAAGGATGCATTTTAAAAAGTGAAAAGCACATTTGTATGCAATGATTAGTGTAGTGAACTAAATGATGGCTTCCCCAAAATATGCCCATGTCCTAGTTCCTAGAACCTGTGATGTTACATTATTTGGAAAAAGGGTCTTCACAGATGTAATTAAGATTATTTATATGAGGAGATTATTATGGATAAACCAGGTACGTCCTAAATGCTGCAGCAAGTGTTCTTATGAGAGAGAGGCAGAGGTAGGTTAGATACACAGAGGAAAAAGCAATGTGAAAACAGATCAAAGAGAGATTTGGACACAGCCAAGGAAAGAATGACAGTCACAAGAAACTGGACGAGACTACCAACAGATTTTCTTCTGGAGCCTCCAGAGGGAGTACAGGGAGTACAAACCTACTAAGACCTCAGTTTAGGACTTTGGGCCCCTCAAATAATAAGAGAATAAACTTATGTTATTTTAAGGTATCATGTTTTGTGTATTGTTACAGCAGCCACAGGAACACAATACAGATTTTGGTAACAGGAATTGAGGTACCCCTATAATGAATGACTAAACATGTGGAAGTGGCTTAGGAGGTGGATAATGGGTAGAGGCTGGAAGAATTGTGATGTATGTGATAGAAAAAAAAAACATACACTGCTGTTAGTAATATGAATGTTAAAATTGCTTCTGGTGAGCTCAGAAGGAACTGAGGGACATTTTATTGGAAACCAGAGGGAAGGGGATCCTTCTTATATAGTGGCAAAGAACTTATATGAATTGTTTCTGGCAGTTGTATGGAAGGTAGAATTTGTAATGAACTTGAATATTTGGCTGAGGAGATTTCCAAGCAAAGTGTTGAAGGTAAGGCCTATTTTCGTCTTGAGCTCATAGTAAAATGCAAGAGGAAAAAGAGAAATTGAGGAAATAACTATTAGGCAGAAAGGAACCAGCACATGATAATTCAGGTAATTTTGAGCCTGAATATTCAGATTGCAAAAGATGCCAAAATTAGGAGATTGTACTCTGGAGATAAAGCCAGCCTCTGGCTAGTGTTGAAGAGATGGCAGACTCATGGATCCACTCAACCATCTCAATAGAAGCCAAGAATAGAGATGGAATTATCCAGCAAAGGTCTGTGAGAACTCTTACCTCAATATTGAATCAATTTGACATACATGGGAGGCCCACAAACTTTTTGAGAATGTTATACTGGCTGAAACAGTTCTAGTTTTGCCTGAAAAGGATGGAGACATAACAAAATGACAGAAGGTTGTAAGACTACCAAAATTTTACAGGCAAGAAACAGGATGATAAAGCTGCAAACATGTGCTACCCTTCAATAAATAAGGCCATTCCTAGAGCAGAACTGCAAGGTGCAGAGGCAGAGGCCCAAGCAGGGGAGCAGAGGCAGAAGTGCCAACCATGGGCACAGAGACAGAGACTTGATCCTTGGGCAAAGAGGCCAGAACTGCAGGCTTAAGGGGTGTAGTCCTGAAATAAGGAGGATTATTGTCAGGGCAAGAAACCTAAGGGGATTATGCCTGGCTGAAATTTGAAAGTCATCAGGCCATGTGACTTTTTTCAACTTTCCATTTTCTCTATTTTGGAATAGGAATGTCTATAACTATTGTCCTATGCTTGTCCCACCATTGTATTTTGGAAGCAGATAAGTTGTTTTTACAGTGTATGCTTTTTTTTCTCTATCACATACATCATAGTTCTTCCGGCCTCTACCCATCATTGACATTTGGATAGAAATTTTGCCCCAGGATTTTCACCTATACCTGATTTAGATGATCCAGATGATGAGATTTGGGACTATTGAACTCATGATGTTTGGATGAGATTTTAGACTTAGAGTTGATGCTATAATGGGTTGAGACTTTGGGGAATGTTGAGATGGGGTGAATATATTTTGCACATGGGACAAATATAAATTTGGGGGGACAAAGGGCAGACTGTAATGGGCTGGGGGGTACCTCCAAAAAGATATATCTACATCCTAACTCCCAGAACCTTTGAATGTTACTTATTTGGAAAAAGAGTCTTATAAGTGTCAATTAAGTTTAGGGTCTTCAGATGAAATTATCTTAGATTATCTGGGTGGGCCCTAAATTACAACAAAAGCATCATTATAAAAGAATCATAGGAAGATTAGATATGCAGAGGAGAAAGTGATGTGAATATGGAGCAGAGAGAGATGTAGCCATAACCCAGGGAAGGCCAGTAGCCACTATATGCTGGAAGAATCAGGGGAAGATTTTGCTCTGGAGACTTTGAGGCAGCATGGCCCTTCATTTTGGGCATCTTGTCATGGGGACCATGAGAGAATACATTACTGGTGTGATGAGGCACGAATTTTATGGTAACTTGTTACCTTGCAGACAAAGGGCACTAATGTAACTAGTAAACATTTTAAGGATTTTGCAGTTTTAAAAATCATTCTGAAGAAAATCTGCATAAATTGGTGCTTCTCACTGTGGCAGTAATAAACCTAAAAAAGACTTTAGTGTAATTTGGTTCTATGCTAAAAATGTCACTACGTACTTTTGTTGGCTATAATTTTCAATCTAGAACAAAATTGCAAATGGCTAAAGCAGGACTATTATAAATCTGGGAAGCAAATCCTTCAACTCCATTATTGGAATTTCACAAAAGGCCCTAAAAGGTTCCATACTGTTTGTGAAAACCATGTGCCATTTCTCGAAATACAAATATATATCAATAATAGTATTTCATTTACTCTTTTCACAAACTAAAAAATAAGGCAAGTTCACATCTGGAAAAAGTAATACACATCAGTATTTCTACTTCGACCATCTTGATGATATGACATGGCAAATGCCACTAAATTTTAGTCAGGTTAATATTTCAAAATATCATTTTCCTACAGCCTGAAAAGCTATCAAAAGACCCAGGTCAGAACATGAAGATTTCAGAAAAGACTTTGTGAAGTCAAAAATACATACATTAATTATTTGCATAAATTTGTAAATCTTTGTTGTTGTTACGAAACAGCATATGAAATTGATATTCCCCTTAAACTTGTGTATGCATTTGTGTGTGATTTAAAGATAGGATGAAATTGTAAAATCTCAGATACTATCATTCATTTTGATTTCTCTATTGTAGCAGCTTCAGAGAATTTTAAAATGTAATACCCACGTAAGAACCCACACAAGAATGCACTGGAGGAAAAGGTAGCAGTTTGAATAAGTATACATCTCTATATAAAGGAAACTGTGAATTATTGGTCACTTGTTTACATTATTTCAAAAGGTGACTTGCCAAGCCAGTCACTTATTCTTTCTGAATGTCTATAATGTGCTTTGAAGAAGTAGAAATAGGATTTTCTATATAAGAAATATACATATAAGAATTTTTTTACAGTAATCACAATCATCTGCATGGATTAGTCTTGAAATTACACTCCAGAGAAATTATACCATATTATTTCAATGCATATTTTAAAGTAACAGACAAGTTAGGTATAACTTCTATTCCTTCATCTATTTAAGAAAAATGTAGAACCTGTTTTTCCTCCTAGGGTTGTTTTGGCAGTGTCATTTTAATTTGTTAATATAATGTAAGTAAGTATGATGATGATTAAAAAGTTCAATTAGTCACTGGGATGTGGAATTATTGTAGCAGTAGATATAAATATATACACATATATACACATACATACATATAATTTTTTACTTCTTCACACCACCAAGGCAGAATTGGAAAGGTGAGTAAGTAGAAAGGAAGATAAAACAGTTGAAGTTTCAGACAGTTTTCTGCTGCCTACAGAGAGAAATCTTTTTCCTCTCAGGTCTTTTAGAACTTTATTCCCTGCTTTCAAGGGGGTCATGAGAGAAAGAAGCAATAGAGAGAAGAAATAAACCACAGAGAATAGGAATCAATATTTACCTTTTAAAAATCTAAATAAAGGTGATAGAATTTTAAGGTTCATCTCAGAATAAACATTAAAATGTGAGGTTTTCTCAAAAATAGCCATATAAAGTATTTCTATAAAGTAGATATATGTGCATAATTAGAAAATACCTATTTAAATAAAGTTTAAATCACTTTCTCTAACTGCTTCTGTTAAACTCTGGTTTATTTTTAGCAATAAGTGCCTGTAACATCATGCTGAAACTCTAGATTAATGATAAGTTTAATTTCAGCCAAAGCAGATGAATCCATCATCTTTTGCTTGAGATAAGATTTGAAATAAATTCATGGGGTTGAAGCAGCAATTTTTTTGAGTTTCCAAAATGGTTTCTCTAGCACAGTGTGCAATATTAGCTAGTGTCTCTTCAAATTGTTAACATACACATTTTCATTGGCCTGTTCTTTTTCCATGTAACAGGAATCAGAAGCAGACACTGAATAATTCTTTCTATTCCTTTCTTTTCCATTTTTTTTGGAGGGGGTGACCTGTAAATTTGAGCAACATTGTAATTTTTTGACAGGGGGACTGTTTCTGAATTTTTTACCCTTTTCATCATTACCATCAGGTCACACACAATAACAAATAATACACATCTTTACACTAAAATGGAACACATATTTTATAATCTTTGTAATTGTGTTTGTTTTAGTATAATTGTGAGAGGAGTATTGCAATAGCTTTCCAGATACATGCTACTTCACCCAGCTAAGCTTGATCTTTGCAGAAATGTACGTATTTTCTCTCTATCCCTTGAGTGGATGTTTTGTTCTTCTCAAAATTTCTGATTTTGTTTACTTATGATTTTGTTTTCATATTCTTTGGCATCAGGAATCACTTAGATGAGATAGTTCCATTGTGGCGAGAGCGTGACCTTTCCAAAGGTACTCGGCTATTATCTGTAAGACAAAGAGAAAGAGAACCAAAACACAGTGAGCGGTAGATCTTGCCTATTACACAAAGTTGGGTCAGGAGAGGTTTTCAAATAGTCCTGAATCACTTCAAATGAATATGTAAATAAGTAACAAGGAGCCCAGATATGAGGCGGTCATGCTGCAACTCTTGGGCTGAGTTCAAGAGTCTTGCAATCAGCAATAAATAACTTTTCTTGATAAGTGAAGTCAGAGTGATGAAAGAAATGGAAGCACTCTCTCAAGCACAGTCCACTTGGAAATTTCAGGTGACAACAAAATTCCTTGGTAAAGATGTCAAATTGAAAGGATCTATGTACAGTGCCTTTTGTTGTAAAGCACTTCAATTCCCCATGAGTTTTAAATCTGTATGTTTTCTATCTCTATAGGATACCAGGGCAGGCAGAGTAGAAAAGAGTTTTTATTTTTTAACAATGATTGCAGTATATGGCAATCAAACCAACTCCTGAGTCTTTGCCTGATTGTATGATGCAAACATATTCAATTATATAGTCATTATGGGATTGAATAATGAATGGGTTCTATTCTCCACACCCATCACAGGAAGAATAATCACTGTAGAGATAACTGTTGGCACAAAGCTTGGGAAGCAAAGTTTAAAAGCATTGATAGTTGGTCAAAAATAGTTTTAGCTCTAATAGAAGAAAAGGTTTACAGCTCTGCATTGTGATGATCACTACTACATTATTATCACCTCTGTTTTATGCTCAGCTTAAAATCAATTGATGTGGGTGAAAATCCTTTCCTGACAAAAACATAATATACTTAGATTCTCTATTTCAAATGAGACTAGGTCCCTAGAAATAATGACAACCACTAGCACTTACATAAATGCTAAAACTTTACACTTGTTAATTTGCTAATTCACACAACATCCCTGGGAGGTAAGTCTATTTCATTCTATCCTATTATTTCTGTTTTACTGATGAAAGTTACACACCAAATCAATGGCATGACGGGGGATTATAATGCAAAGTTAATGCCTAAATGTCAGTACTGCTTTATTTAGAGGCAGATGTTGGGGCCTCCAAAGCTATTATTATGAAATGATGATGCCCAAGGAACACATCCATCCTGCCTGTCCCATGGAGAGAATGGACTATAAGAAGTGCTGAGATTTTGCTATGGTACTTTACTCCTCTGTCTCTTGACTGATTCCCAGTTGTCTGTAGTCAGTACACAAAACAAAGCTAATTGGCCTCCATGACCTTGGCCTTGTTAACACCAATGACTGCACTGAGCCAACTGGCCTTAATCTTAAAATTCCTTATAATGCAATAATATCACTGAGATGTGAGAAAGAAAGGCATTTTTTCTATTCAGAGATATAACTGAGTGAAGGATTATTTGGGGATCCTTTTAAAGATACCATTTTAAAAAGCCATTATTTAGTTTGTGATATAGATCACAATTCAGCAAAAAAAAAAATGTGAAGATAACATTCCTAGATAAAGGGCTTATTACTTAGATGTCACTGGTTTGCATACAGATTGGTTTGGGACTTAGAAAACATTTAAATATGAGATTATAATACAATGATTACCAATACTTTGCTAGCATTTAAACATTCAGTGTTAAAAGCTATCAGATATAAGAATGATGGTACCATTCACAGAGGATTGTCCCAGCTCAAAAAAGGGCTTGTGCCTTGGTTGTACTACACTCTAAGGTCAACTGGCATCTGCACTCACTCCAGGTGTGACACTAGCATCCCATACCACCACTCACAGCCCACTGGATTTAAGACAAGTACCACATTCAAAAACAAGTCTCACAGCATTACATAATGTGGTGTCAAGATTCACTTATTGGTAGCATTTGGCATTGGAAAATAAACTTTCAGGTGAAAATAAGCTCAGGAAAAGACATTGAAGCTTTTGGAAGACAGGATAAACACTGGTTCAGGGCCCAAATCTAGCTCTTGGCATGCACAGGAGAGAATTATTCTACATTTCCTCCTCCCTTCTCTGTCTCTCTCATATATATATTTTTTGGTACCTAATTGATTCCTATGTTAATTATATAATTATAAGAGGAAGCAATTCTGAAAAGGTTACCACATATTTTTGAAATCTCAATGTACAACCTTGTTTATGGGGAAAAATGCCATTAGAAACAATGGAAGCAATGGCTAATCTGGATTTTGTGATCTAATTATAATTTTCTGCATTTATATTAAAACTATTTTAGGGGCGCCTGGGTGGCGCAGTCGGTTAAGCGTCCGACTTCAGCCAGGTCACGATCTCGCGGTCCGTGAGTTCGAGCCCTGCGTCGGGCTCTGGGCTGATGGCTCAGAGCCTGGAGCCTGTTTCCGATTCTGTGTCTCCCTCTCTCTCTGCCCCTCCCCCGTTCATGCTCTGTCTCTCTCTGTCCCAAAAATAAATAAACGTTGAAAAAAATATATATAAAAAAAAACTATTTTAGGTGCAAAATATATATACTCTAGATTTTATGGATGAGGCAGAAATGCAACTGAGAAGATAACATGTTTATAAATAAATATGACATGAATATATATATTCATAACTTTTCACACTCTAATAGCTTACAAAATAACGATAAAAACTTTTCATGCTCAAATTCATGCCCTTTTTGAGGCACATATTGAGAAGCAATGAATTTTTTGAAATAAAAATTTTATAATTATAATATTAAATACTAATAGGAAAAAATCTGGCATGACCCTCATAAGGTCAGGGCACATAGTTAATATCAAATTTATGAGAAAGCAAAGGTTACATATTATTGCTGTCATAGGTGATAAAGTAATTTTGGTGATTGTGAGAGTGATTATACTTCCTATTTGGAGACATAGGAGGAGGAAGTGGACACCCATGTGATGATTTGAGAATTCCAGGAGACCCAGACTATACCAAATTCACTTCTCTAACTAGTCTTATTCTCTCAACACTACTGATACTAGAATAATTTAGATGGTGAAATAGGGGCCTCTCCTCCAAAAAAGTCAATAATTTAAAACATATGTATTCACCTGAGATGATGTGGAAAACTTTGTTAACAAGTATTGGCTACCCTTTCCAATTTGTGTATTGTCTTTTTGGAAACCAAAGAAAGGAAGAAGGGGAGAGGTATCTGTCTATGTTTGTATACTTATTGGGGATATTGTACAATGAGATACAGGAAAACACACTTTATTAGAGGATAGGGGTAACATTATTTGTCATAATATTTCTGTCTTCATTTTATTAATGCAAGAGGTAACATATAATAGTGAATAAGAAAGACTACAGCATCTAATATATCCTCATGATTTAAGAATTCATGAAGAAATTCTATTGTTTATAAAAACCAACAATTAATGGAGAAGTAAAGCCTGAGATGTCAATACAAGATGTACCTTCCAAATCCATCACAGTTGGGTATCCTCTTTGATCATCAAAGGCTTGTCTTTGAAATATGCCCCATGTGAAGGTGAAAAGATTCTGATATTACAGAGAGTGACCTGGTCATAGTGTGAATTTGGAGACAGCTATAGTTATATAAAAATTAGCATTCTATGGAGGAAGGGTGATCAAAACTAAAACACTATTCTAATCTGTCACCAAAAGATAATATGAATACATGGACCAGCTTGGCATACTTCTGCACATTCTGAGTACCAGGTTAATCAGTTCAAACCAATGTCAAGATGTATCCAGTCATAAAAGCAACAATATTTATGCTATTTATGAGTGCAAATTGATTTGACATTCATCTCAAAACCTTCCCAACTTAGTACTACAGTGAATGGATTAAACCCATTACTGTATTGATGTAAAGTCCAAACCCTTTGTGATGCAGCAAAGGCAGTCCTAAGAGGAAAGTACATTGTAATTTAGTCCTATCTCAAAAAGGCCTGAATACAAATATACAACATAACTTACACCTAAGGGAGCTATAGAAGGAGCAGCAAATAAAGCCCAGAGCAAGCAGAAGAAGGGAAATAATAAGGTTTAGAGCAGAAATAAATGATATAGAAACAAAAAAAAAAAGCACTAGAATAGATCAATGAAACTAAAAGCTGATTTTTTGAAATAATAAACAAAATTGACAAACCCCTAGCCAGACTTATCAAAAAGAAAAGAGAAGGGACCCAAATAGATAAAATCATGCATGAAAGAGGAGAGGTCACAACCAATACCACAGAAATACAGTCAATTATAAGAGAAAACTATGAAAAATTATATGCCAACAAACTGGACAATCTGGAAAATAGACAAATTCCTAGACACTAACACATTATCACAACTCAAACAGGAATAGAAAATTTGAACAGGCCCATAAACAGCAAAGAAATTGAATCCGTTATCAAAAATCTCCCAACAAATAAGAGTCCTGGGCAAGATGGTTTCCCAGAGGAATTCTACCAACATTTTAAAGAACAGTTAACACCTATTCTCTTGAAGCTGCTCCAAAAAATAGAAATGGAAGGAAAATTTCCAAACTCATTCTATGAAGCCAACATTACCTTGATTTCAGAACCAAAGAGCCCACTAAAAAGGAGAATTATAGGCCAATATCCCTTATGAATATAGATGCAAAAACTCTCAACAAGATACTAGCAAATCAAATTCAACAGCATATTAGAAGAATTATTCAAAATGATCAAGTGAGATTTATTCTTGGGCTACAGGGTAGTTCAATATTCACAAATCAATGTGATATACCACATTAATAAAAGAAAGGATAAGAACCATATGATACTTTCAATAGATACAGAAAAAGCACATGAGAAAATACAGTATCCTTTTCTGATAAAAACCTTAATGAAAGTAGGGATAGGAGGAACATACCTTGACATCATAAAACCATATACAAAAATCCCACAGCTAATATCACCCACAATGGGGAAAAACTGAGAGCTTTCCTGCTAATGTTAGGAACATGACAGGGATGTCCACTCTCCCCACTGTTGTTCAACATAGTATTGGAAGTCTTAGCCTCAGTAATCAGACAACAAAAAGAAA